TTATTATCTTGGTATGTAGCTATTAGGAAGCAATGGCATCATTCTATTCCTCCAATGGAGCTTCTTAAACTTGTCGCTTTGTGTTTTACTGGATGTAGTAATTGTTGATCTGTCGCACAATTAAAGCGCAATATAATTTCAATTGATTTTTAAAACATTTAGTGTTTTGAATTCATCGCAATTTAGTCAATCAGACCAGTCAATCCATCACTTGAATTGCATTCAAGGTCTATTTTATTTTTACTACTGAACTGCTCGTTTTAAAATTTGATTACTCAGCCAATAATTTGGAAATCTGGCAAATTCAACCATCAATGTGGTCATGGGTTAGATATTAATTATTTAGGGTAAATCTTAAAGATATAATAATGAAAGAGATTTGACAAATAAAACCCTCCATGAATTTTAACGAATACCACATGATTGATTACCACTTTTGATTGATTATTAGTTTTTTCCGGGTATGATGGCTAAACCCGTTTTTGTATTTTATTATCATTTGTATTTTTATGATACCAGTTGACATCAGTTGTATTTTTTTTTATATTTCATCATTAATAAAAATAATTATTCCTGATCCATTTTTATATTTATATGTGAAGGTAGGTGGGTCAGAGTTAAAATGGGTTTATTACCTTTTAACAAGGATTGATGGTGAGTAAATATGGGTGGGTTGGTATTCAACCCTTACCCAACCCAACCCATCCATTGATGTGGATTGGATTTCTTCTGATGATGGAACAAGGTTTGCTGAAGGGAATGAGTGAATGACAAACAAGAAATCATTACCCACATAAGCGCATAGAATAGGGGCAAATGAAATGGATATCTATCTGACCCGCATAATCTTGCACAAGCTTGTATTTTCATTTTGATAATTATATTATATACCCCAGTAATTGATGGTTCTTTTGACGCACTGGAAGCAGAAACAAGAGCAAGTAGAAGGAGATCCTATCCAAATTCCAAATTGCTTTGCAAGTAACAGTAGTGTTCCAAATGAAACAGAGAACTTCTGCATCAATTTGTACCTTTTTTTTTGCGTAAAATGCATCAATTTGTAGGTGAGTCAATATTAATCTCCATAGTCCATGCTTAAATTAGCAGCAAAATGCAATCGGGCCCTCAAATTCTTCACGGGGAAGAGGTAAGGGAATAATGATGATATCCAGTTAAAGACCCAAATCCACTGCCAGTTTTGTAACACTGAATTCCAGAAAACATCCTCATTCCATCCCAACACCTTAGGAATGCAAAATCAATCCTACTCAAGCAATCCTGGCCTCACATAAGATTACTAACAACTGTTCCACACAGATGTTCCCATTGAACACCGAATACTAAATAAGAGAACACAAAAAACTTCATAAAAATCAAGTAACACCGTGGGCCTGATACAATTGTGGTCAACAATTTGATATCAAGGTACGTTAATATATTGCCTTGGGGGTGATTTGGGGCTTTAGGTAAATCGGAATGAATTAATAGAGAACCTTGAGTGTCAATTATAATGTAGCTTTCATATAGACTATGTATAGCTACTTTTAGGTGTTGGATGAGCATCAGATGATAGCTATGGACCGACCTAGGGTGAGGTGATTATCCTAGGAAGAATGAAGGGGCAAGATAGTAAAATAAATTTCGGCAAGCAAGAATTTCAATAGATGTATTTTCTAACAAGAACTTTCAAGAAACCAAGACAGATACAAGGAGATTCGAGAAAATAGCAAGATATACAAGAAAATCCAGAAAATATAAGGAGTCAGGAAAAGAACCATGAACTAATCAAAATCAAATAAAAAACATTTTAAGATTCAAGAAAAAACCAAAGAGAAATTAGATCTGGATGCAAGAGACAGAAAGTAACAAGAAAAAGAAAGAAGGATAAATAAATAAATAAACAAATGAATCCAAGTACATCAATTCTTAAATATGAGATTAAATATTTATTTCATAAATCAACCACTCCATTCTGATAACCTTACAAATACTAATTTATAGAAGAGAGGGTAGATCAGTCCTTAAAGACACTTTCCTAGTTATATTACAACTTAAAAGCAAAATAAAAAAGATTCAACCACTCTTTCCTTCTGATAGCCTTACAAACACTTAATTTATATAAGAGAAGCTTGGTCAATCCTTAAAGATATTTTCCTACTTGTGTTACATATTTAGAAAAAAATAAAGACTCAATTCTCATATGAAAATAATTTCTGGAACAAGGTTTTTGTACTAATATCAAGCAGACTAAAATAATTTCTTTTGTTTTCTCAACACTCTTAACAACATCATGTTGGGAACTGGTAATTTGTGCTAGAAGAGAATCTTCTACAACAAGGTCTATATGCTCTATATCAAGCATATGAACACAATTTCTTTTTGTTTCCTGGAGACGGGTAATTTGTTTCCTTAAGACCTGGCTAATCTGTGAATGCATATTTATATTTGGAAGTCTGTTCTTGCCACCACCCTGGCTTTAAACATAAACGTGTAGTCCCAGCACTAATCTGAAAACGAGAAGAGTTGCTTAGTTCAAATTATGTCTATGCAGATGCCTTGACCAGTGAGTTTCTAAGTTTCTTCACTCACAAACATGCACAGAAGTATGATCAACTCTTTCTTGCTTATTCCCAGAGATCCCATCAACCATCTTCACACTATAGAACCATATTGAAGTTTATCATACTTCAGAAAGAAGCCTAAAGTTGGAAAGATAAAATTCTGATGTCTGACCTTCCAATAAAGGCTTTCCCCATTTGTTTCTACTAACCAAATAATAAATCACTGCACACCTGGATTGCCCAGTGTAACAATCAGCTTTGACCAAGCTCCTTCACCTTCATCTTTTCAAAAATCACAAGATCATTTTCCTTTTCTCCCTTCTCAAACACTAATTAGATAAGTCCTAAGAATTCCTTCAAGCTGGACCATTCTTATATTTTGTACCCTTGAACACCACTACCCCATGGCTACTACTCCAGAAAATGAAGTTGATTTGTCCTTTCATAGCATACAAGCATATCTCCACCAAGACTTTAGTGTGACATCAAGACTCCAGACTCCTCCATAGCATAGTTGTCAAGGCGACACCTAGGCGACTAGGCGCTTTTTCATGGTCACCTTGCCCAAACGCCCCAGGTTTTACATACCAGGCGCCCGCCCAGAGACTTAGGTGGGTGCCTATTTATATATATAAAATAAAATCATTTTTTATTTAATAATTGTTTTGAAATTTTATTGATTGTTGTATTGTTTTAAAATACAATCTGCTACATCGTATCATCTAGTATTAAGACAAGTTACATTAAAGATTCAGTCAAAGGGTTTTCTTTCGATTGGAGAGGGAGGAGAACCGGACACCAGTTCAAGTTCGAGCCCCAGCCCAACTCCATCGCACCTCACCTCCGGCAGCGGCAGGTGACTTCTTCTTCAAACTTCAATTGAAAAAACTGGGGTTCCACCAAACCTCCTTTTCTTTTTTTTTTTTTTTTTTCGAAAAAACAGGGGCTCCACCCCTATGCTCCTCTCAGTAGTCAGTCCTCTCTCCACTCTTCTTCTTCTTCTTCTTCCATTCCGCCCCATGAGGCCATGCGTCCAACTGTCCAAGTGTCCAACAGTCGTCCACCCCTTGAGTCCTTGAGTCCATTGTTTTGTTTTTTTATTTTTTTGAAATGTTTTATTTTGATTGTATCATTGTATGCTGATTGCTGAATTGAAAATCTGATATATGTTTGAAATGCTTTATTTTGAAAATCTGAAATGGCTGATTTTTTATTAGTTTTGTTTTTTATTTTTTTTATTTTGGCTGATTAGGTCCTTTAGGAAGCATAGAAATCTATAAATTAATATATTTATAGATTCCATCGCCTAGGCACCTGGGGCCCCCCATGGTTGCCTAGCCTCGCCTAGTCGCCTTGAAAACTATGCTCCATAGTCCATCCAGAGATACAACCATCACACCAAGTAACAACTGTTACAATTCTATTGGTATACATTACCACTAACAGCCAAACATGGTATCTCTACAATGTTTTCTAACATTCTTGCAACATAGACGGAGATGACCCAGAAAAGAAAATACAGCTACTTGTAAGGAACATCAGAATATGGTCACTTGGTCAGTGGTAAGAATTTTATCTCAAAGGGCCATAAAAAATGTGGCACCTGAAGGAACCAAATAAAATATGTATTCTGGAGTGACATATTGTCTGATATGAAACAAGGATTTCAACCAGAACCAACAACCACAAGCTGCTTATCTAAGAGCTTCCTAACTCTTATGATATCTCCAAAGATGCACCTAAATCCATGGACGAAAAAGAATCCCGTACTTAGTTAGGGCCTAAAAACCTAAGTGCCACGCCCACCATTACCTCACAGAGACACATTAATGACTGCTGAATCTCCATACAGCTACTATTGGGAAGACCATGCTGCTGATCTAACAAACTGATACCACTTAGTAACAGAAACTGTTAAAACTTGAAAAGACACAAACACACATAAGAATTTTGAAATTAAAAAAAATCAATCACTAAATTAGTCACCTCTTTCTACAAGCAGATGAATCCACCCTGTGAATCACAATAACCCCATCAATGGTTTGTTAGGAGGATGAATGATGGTAACTTATCAGTCAATAAACATTGAGCACCAGTATAACATAATTGTGTTTGAAATCATTGTTGGTGCAGCTAGCAAGCTTGTTAGAAATGCATAATAAATCTCACAGCTACAATCAAGACATGCTAAACAAAATAATATAATACATTGATTAGTAATTCGCTAAGGTGAATTTGCAGGGTCATGCAACATCATTAATATATAAACAGTAGGTTCATTATCAGAAAATTAAAGCAGATGATAGGAGGCTCATTAATAAACCTTTTCTGTGCAATAGCTAGCAAGCTAAATATGGCCATCATTTTTTGTTGGTCTAGGTTAACCAATACAAGTAGAGTTAGTTTAATGACTGGAAATAAGAGAAAAAAAGAAGAAAATTGAGAACAGAAGTAGCGAATGCTGTTTTATTGAAATCAACGACTAGATGATAAACGTAGTCCATCTATCAGCATATGCCCAGAATCTTTTAGTGCTGGATTGTACAATGCCAAAGCTACGAATAGCAACAATCCTAGAAAAGAGGAGAAAGAAACATAAGAAGCAATATGCGAAAAAAATGAGATGCTTCCGGTTTTCTTTTGATACAGATCAGGAATTCCCTGCAAACAGTTCCCATCATTACCGCGAAAACCTCTCTCTATTGAAGGACATGGGTTTCCTCCTTATATGGCAATCTTAAGATATATGAGAAAGAGAGAAATGGGCGAAGAATGAGAGGGGAAAAAATCGTAAGAATCAAAATCAAGAAGAATTCAAACGATTCTACCGTGCAGTGATGAAGAGGAATCAGCTGGCGCTCTTCTTCCCAGAACTTGAATAATAACTGAGGTACCACCTGACAAACTTCTTCAACCCTGTCTGCAGATCTGTCGTGGGCTTGTATCCAAGCTCTCTCTGGGCCAAGCTTATATTGGCGTGGGTAAATTGCACATCTCCATTCCTTGGCATCTTCAACATCAATCGATTGGCCTTTACCTTCAACAACCTCTCTAAAATGCTCACAAGCTCGGTGACGGGCACCGGCGATGTGTTCCCTAGATTGAATACCCGTAACTGTGCAGGCCCCTTCTTCTTTCCCCCACGGCCCGTGCTCTTTTCTGCAGTATCCAGTGCTGCTAAACATCCTTTTACAATGTCATCAATATAAGTAAAATCTCTCGCAACCGTACCATGATTTGGGGCCTCGAAGATCTGAATTTGCTTTCCCTTGAGTATATCTCTGGTAAAGAAGAAATACGCCATATCAGGTCGACCCCAAGGGCCATAGACTGTGAAAAAACGCAGCCCAGTAATGGAAAGTCCATATATGTGATTGTAGGTATGGGCGATCTCTTCACCAGCCTTCTTGGTGGCGGCATAAAGGCTGGCAGGCTGGTCAGTTCGGTCTTCTTCCGAGAAGGGTACTTTGGAATTAAGGCCGTAGACAGAACTGGAAGACGCCCAGACGACTGCAGGCTGTGGATTAGCCGATTTGCAGACCTCGAGGACATTTACAAGTCCGGCAATGTTGCTGTGAACATAAGAGCCAGGGTTCTGCATGGCATATCGTACGCCCGCCTGAGCAGCGAGATGCATGACGTGAGTGAACGCAACAACATCGAATAGTTTCCGAAGAAGAGCCGAGTCATTGATGTCGCCCTCGACAACGAAGACGCCGGTGCGCTCAAGGAGGGCCTGGCGGGCTCGCTTGAGCGAGGGGTCGTAGTAGTCGTTAAAATTGTCAACGCCAAGGACACCATCGCCTCGTCGCTTCAATGCGGCAGATACATGAGTACCAACAAAACCAGCGGCGCCGGTGACGAGTACAGAGAGACCATTTCGCGCGCGGACACGGGCAGAGGATCTGACGCGCTTCTCCCAAGCGGGGCCGCCCCAGTTGGAGTTACTAAGAGATCGGCGAGAAGAATCGGAGGGTGAAGAAGGGGGAGGAGAGCGGAAAAAGAAGAGAAGGATGAGACCGAGGAAGAGAAATGACCAGAAGGTGAGCTTGGCGAGGGAAGAATGCCAACGGAGTCTATGAATGTAAGGCGATTTGTCCATCTTGAATTTCCCTGGTGTCGACGGAATGTTGTCCAGATGAGAGATCGGTTTCAGCTGCGACATTGACCGAGCAAAGACCGCAGGTGCGTGTAACCCTACCCTTCTTCTATTTCTTTTCTCAAAATGAAAAATGAAATGTTAGGCAGTTATGGCCAGCGATAGGGTTTTTCTCTCTTCCCTCCGCTCTTCTCCTTGCTTATTCTTCTTCTTCTTCTCCTTCTTGAATTTGTTCATAGAAGGATTCTTTCAGAGAAATGGGAGAAAGGTTCGCTTTGTTCCTCTCTTCTACTCTACTTATTTTTGGGGAATGGGGAATCTTCTGGTTACTTGGAAGGGTTGTTGTTGTCCCCCTGTTTTGGGTTTCTAAAAGAAAGATGGAAGAGATCTGATGGGAGCGATACGAGAGAGAGAGAGAGAGAGAGAGCTTGATGTTTATTTAGTATTAGTAATGGCGTTGTCCTGTGTTGTGTGTTCGTGAATGTGCTTCAGAGAGAGAGAGAGAGAGGAAATGGCAAGGAAATGAGGGGATGCTATTGGTATGGCAGGCAACGACTGTAAAAAAAAAAAAAAAGGGGAATGTGAGTCCGAGTAGAGTCAGTCAAATGGTACTCCGGGTAGTGAATAAATGAGATTGGGCTTTATTTTATTCAGTTCTGAGGTTTTTGCTTAATGGCTTTCTTCTCTATATTATTTGGCAAAATCTATCTACTCTTCTAAACAAGTAATTGTAAATGAATGAGATGAGAGAGTGTTGTTGGATTGGTTGGAGGGATTTGACTCTGCCCTTGATTTCATGTACTTGTATTGCGATTTATGTGGGAGGTATTGATTGGGGGAGGTGTTTTTAAGGCATTGAAGTGGGGTTTGTTGGGGATGGTGTGGGTTGTGAATATGCTAATGAGGGGGGCTTGTTGGGGGTGTAGCACAGATTTGTGGGGATTTGGGACTCATTAGAATGAATTCCTAGGGCTTGTCATTTGTGTTGTGACTTGTGGTGATCACTCATCACCAACAGCTTGCAAAATATACTAGAAAATTGAAATCTTTAGACACCCATGGTTAAGTGGGGGAGATTCAAGCTTCTAGCTTCTATTTGGATAGCTGTTGAAGTTATTTTTGGTGAGTAGATGGGTTTGGAAATTGGTATCTCTGTTGGGAGGGTGTATATGAAGTAGAATAACATGATGACCCAATGTGAGAGGAGACAAATGTCATTGAGAGAGTGGGGTTGAGAGTTGAGAGGGACACATTTGGTGGGATTCATCAACGGTCACCACCAGAGAAGGTGTCTAGTACAACTACAACTACGAAGGACACTTGAAAAGAAGGAAATGTTGGCTCTAACTCTAAGCATCCCATTACATAGATATCTTGTATTCTAATTTAGGCTGTAAAAGCTGCCATGTGAGAATATGATTGATGAATCACATTAAACCAAATACCTTACACCCACTCTAAAGAAGAAAACCTCAACAATAAATGAATATTAATCATTTCACATCACGGTGCAGCACACATGGCCCACCTACCTTTGATGGGTCATCACTCTTTTCAATAAACAAAAAGTAAATTCATGATGAGAGCAATCCAACGGCTGTGGAGCAGTCTTGGGATTTCGGTAATTTCAGTTAAAGTTGATTGTAATCCAAGACTGACTGTAGTAATCATCAAGAGAGCACAGAAGAGAAGAAGAGATAGAGAAGAGGATGAAGAAGCGTTACGTAACTGAAATGGAAGTCAATAAATCGTTTTATTTCCCAAAGTCACCAGGGCATGTGACCTTGAAATATACCATAAACGGAGCCAAGGCCAGTATTTTTTCATGTTCAGGGCAGGCAATATGCCTAATGCCTTCTCCATGTTAAGGGGAGATGAACTCAGATATTGATAAGCGCGATTTATACTATGTCAGTCAGATACATATTCTAGTTTTGATAACGGTAAACATTTGTATCTGATAGGTCGTTGTTGCCGTGTTCAAAAGTTTTTTTTTCCCCACTGAAATAATGAATACTTCAGCCATTATTTCTACCCTCTCTTTGACCCATTTTACATTGAGAGAAACTTGAGGAAAAGAAATTCCAGGGTGATTCCCCTTATCAAATGTTTGATTATCGAGAGCAATTTCTGGGAAAAAGCTAAAAAGATTCAACATGATTGGAGAAAGGTCAATCTTTTTTTTTTTTTTTTTTTTTTTTCTTTTGAGAGTTTTGTTTATGGACCTAAAAGTTGGAAATGTTACCATTTTCCATGTCAAGAATTTTTTTTTAGCATCTAATAATAGACACAGACTTAGAAATTTCATAGCCTTTCCTTTCCTCTGTTTCCTATTAGGGATGATAATTTATGATCTGACTTGGCCTGGCCTGCAAATTTTCGGGCCTGGGCAGCCATATTTCTGCTAACCACAGCCCATCTCAGACCGGCATTAGACCCACACACAATGTGGGTCGGGTTCGAGCCAAGCAAGCCCCTGGCCTGACCCAAATATATATATATATAGGTAATATTTTTGTATTTACATATATGATATAATATTTTACTATATATATGAAAACAAAGACCAGCTTCCTTCCAACCCAGAAGCTCCTTTGGCAGCTAGAAGGTGGGCAAACTTGTTTGCCTCTCTAGAGACAAAGTTAAAAGATCTTACGCTCAAATTGTACATATCCACCAACAGATTCCAAACATAGGATTATCAAAACATCTTTCATTTAGAACTTTTATAATAGTCTGCTTATCATTTTTCATCAAGGTTTTAAAAATCGACCCAAAAACTAGTAGGCTGTTTATAAGAAGACCCAACCTGACCAAACCAACCAATTCGGACCGACCCAACCTGACTCGGCCGGGTTTTCTTCAGTACTGGTCAGTTTCGGGTTATAAAAAATCATAAACCGATGATTTGGTTTTCATGTGTGAAAACCAAAACCGACCTGAGCCAAATCGACTTAGTAGTTAGTTCCTAGTTAGTAGTTACAACCTACTTAGTTCCTACTTAACTAAGTTGTCTCTATCCTAGTTACAACCTACTTAAGTAAGTTGTCTCTCAAACTCTGCTCCCTCCACAACTGGATCCATGGATGGGCCACAAAACATTAAAAAAATGCTAGTTTCCTTTGGGAATGTAGAGCCAGAAATGAACAACAACTAAGTCACCACTAAGTAGAATCGAAACCGACCCAAACCGACTCAAACCGATCAGGTCGGTTTTGCTTAACATAGGGTCGGTTTCGATTTCAATTTCAGGTAACCCAACCAGGTCGGGTCGGTTGGAAAAACATCAGTAAACCGACCCATGAACAGCCCTAGAAACTAGGGATGGTAATTTCCCCATCCCCGACCGGTACCCGGGCTCCCCAACCCAGTGGGATCGGGTATGGGGAGTGCTTTAGCGGGGTGGGGGCGGGGATGGGGCTAAAATTGAATCCCCGATCGGGTTTCGAAACGATGATGGGGAATACAATCCCTACCCCGCCCGACCCCGATTAATATTTATATATATTATATATTATTTATATTATAATATTATTTAATTAACAAATAGCAATTAGCTAATAACTCTGAGAGTCTCTTCTATTGTTTTACACTTCTATTGACCTAAAATAATTAACTTGATGACAGAACAGAGAAAAGAACTTTAGCGATGGTGGCTGAAACCGAAACAGTAAAACCCTATTCTTCTTCTTCGCGGTACTTCCAGTTCCAGTCTTCTAGATCTCAGGTGAAGCAACGCCGCAGCGCAAAATCTCATGGGTTATCTTTTGCTTCATGGAATGGGATAATTCTATTACACTTTTCTCTTTGGAAAATTCCTCCTTCATTTCAAGCTCTATGGGTTCCAACGCAAAGTGGGCGAGGCATTTTCCGAATACGATTTGAACCCTCCTTCATCATATTCTCTCTCCCTCTGCTTCTCCCAACGCAGAAAGAACTATTTTGGAATTCCTTACAAATATTTATAGTGTCGGCTGGAGTGGTGGAGGCTTGAAAGCGAACAGGCTTTGTTTGGTTTTTGTTTCCAAAGAGAAGGCGCGTGGGAGGGAGGGATGACGGAGGACACAGGATGTTAAAAACAATCGGGGATTTGGGTCTCCGATAGGGAACCCATTCCCATCGGGATCGGGGATGGAGGAGCATTTCTTTCCCCGATGGGGATCGGGGACGGGGATGGGGGATGATTTGGAAATCAGAGTTGGGGATGGGGAATGTAATCCCTGCCCCATTGCCATTCCTATCGGAAATCAAAACGTTCTGGCCATCGGTTTCTAGGTCAGCGGTTTGATCATTTGGGTCAAATGTTTCAAACGATTTAAAAATTTTAACAAGTGATATGTCATCTTACCCATTAGATTGGAATATTAGGATAAGATGCATATAAATCTAAGAGAAATAAGGTTTGATTGTTTGAGAATGAGAGAGATTTGAGAAGTTGTCAGTTGAAAGAGTTTAGAAGAAGAAGAAGAAGAAGAAGAAGAAGAAGAAGAAGAAGAAAGAAGAGGAGGAGGAGGTCACTTGTAGGTTGTAGCGGCGGTGATGGTGGCAAACTAGTAATGAAAGTAGATCCGAGATTTCTCGGTCTCATATCTCACTCTCTCTCTCTCACAGATCTGTCGTCTAGAGTCTAGACTGCTCTCCCAGATCTCTAAGTGTGAGATCTCTTAGAGCTCTCTCACTGTCTCACACATCCCTCAACTGATCTCTCTCTCCAGTAGATCTCAGATACGAGAGATCTTCTCTTTTCATTCTTGTTCTATTAGAAGTAATAAACCGCAAATCGTTCTTCGAGTCGAACGGTTCAACGGTCAAACCGTTTGGGTCAATAGTTCATTGACTAATTCAACGTTTTTTACCAAAGATTGGGTTTGGGTAAAACAGAACCTGTCGCCTAGACGGTTTCTGGTCCGAACGGTCTGACCATCTGGGTCAATGACAGTTTGAAAACATTGTTTTCCACTATTACATTCAAAAACCATGATTTTCAAAATCGGACCGGACCAAAAAAAAGTGGGAACCAGCCAGGTGACCGGTTCCATTTTACCCCATAACCATTATTTCGCTAAAAACCGTTGATTTAGTCAGCAAACCGTTGACCCAGGCGGTCAAACTGTTTGAAACGTTCGAACCATCCAACGGTTTTGGCCATTTTTATTTTTTTAATTTTTAATTTTTTTTGTTAGAATAGGTCATCCGTTCGGTTCGAATGGCCAGACCATTTGACCCAGGAACTGGACCCTAATTGGTTCATTGTCCGGTTCGGTTTAAAAACCTTGCAAAAAACCTAACTGAGTAACATTGATTAATTGCAAACACTTTAGCAAAAAGAGGCAAGACTAGCTTACAAACACAATAGCTACCAAAGATAAAATAACTTAAAGCATCTCTAAATAAAAAACCGAAACCACACTTTTCAAATGTAAAACTGCCATCAGTGTTGATGAAGGGTGATTTGGCCCGACCTCATAGACAGACGACGCGTGTACGTGACTCAACACAAGTGACAATTGGGCATAAGCCAACTCGGTATAAAGCGAGCTCGGGTATGCTAGTACTCCGAACTGGGATCACCTCGGCCCAAGAACACTTCAGCATTCAGAAAGGCAGACCAAGGCGTGAGCTCGAGAAACTCGCTACTCATTAGCTCGCTACCAAGCAG